CAGTCTTTTTTTTTCAACCAATGTTGTCATCACAATTGATTTTAAAATTATTCTCGCCATTTGTATTAATATTGTATGTGTATGTGGTGCCCCTCAAGCATAAGGGGTCATTTGGGAGAAAGGCACCAGGGCTACTTTACTCTACACTCAGGCAGTTAAGGAGAGCCCAGTTACCATCCTCATTGAGAGCAGGCAGAGTTATGATCCCCAGATCCTGTTTGTATCAGTACTGTAATTAAACCACTTGAGCCACCTGGTGCTGCGTTATTCTAATTATTTTACATTGCCTCACCAGTTATGGCCTCTTATTGAGATCAGTATTAATGACAATCTGAATTTGTTGAGCACATAATGAAGACACATTTCATTCTTAATACTGCGCCACTTTGAAACAGCTTGCACTGATAACTAAGCAATTCAGTGTTGATCGGATAAAAAGCATAAAAAAGTATTGTGCTAAATAATTACCTAACATCATTATAATTATTGATACACACTATTTAAGCTTAAACCAATATAATAGAACCATTATCTGAAAGTCAATTATTCCCAGGAAAGGATGTAGCAACACAACCCAGAAACACAGGGCACAAAGTGAGACTATATCCTGAATAGAGATCTACTCAGGACAATTCAGGGCACATGCACTCAGGGATAACTTAAAGACACAAATCATTCACTCAGCATGTTCTTGAAAGGTTGGTGGAAGCCCAAACACCCGATGAAAACTAACACAAACACAGGGAGAACAAGCAGATTCTGCACAGATGCCTTGCCAGTCCAGATTAGAACCCCCAATCCTATAGCTATGAATCAGGTACGTCATCATCTCACCATGTGTCCTCGATAACATACCAATATGGACAAAATGAAGTAAAATGAGATATGCACTATTTAATATTTGCCTGTCCACTCCCTTAAAATTATGACATAAAAATAAAAAAACAAAATGAAAAATGGGGAGTGATTCTCTAGACCACTTACTGTAAGCCATCTTTTTGACGAGTTTTTTTATGAGCGACTGATGAATGTCTGTCGCTCCTGTTAAACACCTATTGTAGATAACTTGTTGCCATGTTCACTGGCAGTGTCTGTGGTGCATCAATAGCACAGCAGACAGCAAGTGCATGTCCTGTTCAAGAGCAAGTATGTTTTTACAATTTATGCACATAAAGTGAATAGCACAATCACAGAAATAAGCTATTAAATGTATGTATATATTTTGTTTTCAATATCATGTCCTGATGGTCCACTATCCCCCAGAAAATACGCTACGCTTGCAAAGGTGGTGAAGAACTTAATTGCTGCTAGTTTCCCTGTCAGTCGAAAGACTGTGGATCACGTGCTAGACCTGTTGGTGAAGACATGGATCAGCTAGACAATGATAAGATGTCAAACAGCATCTCCAATCCTGTTTGCACTGAAAAGTTGAATTAAAAAATAATTCCAGAGATGGAATACATACCATTTACAGTTGAAGTGGAGAAGTATAAAGCACTCTAAAGGCCAGTTCTGCGTGCCATTTCATCTACTGTTGGTGAACAACATAAGTATTGCGTTTAATACTTATGACATACTTAAAAAACTTGTGACATTAATATAATGGAATTAAAATATAAGTTAATTAATTAAACAGTGCAACTTCTTTTATGTTTATTGAATATGCAGTTTTGTAACAATCCCTCCTATACTGTTGACAAACAAGAAAGAAATGGCGAAGGTGAGTTTAAGAGTTTGCGTTATTGTGAAAATGGCAGAGGAACAAAATAATCTTCAAAGATGCTAGCAGTGCATCTCACCACATGCATAAAAACCTCTACACTCGTGTCAAAAACAGTGTACATCCGGCTTTAACAAATAAATATTACAGGGAGTCTAGCTTGTCAATACAATTTCTCTTACTTGAACCTTACTTCCAAACTGTAAGCATTAGGGTTTTCCTCTGTTCAACACACAGGAATAATGCAAACTGACAAACTGAGTTTCTTCCCATCCAAATGATTAAAAAAATAATTCAGCCAACTGCACCACACCATGTAACAATCACCTTCACCTTTTAAAAAGCCATTTTGAATCTCAAAAGAACAAACCATGCTATTTATCAAAAGATATCACTGTTTGATCATATACAGTACTGTAGAAGAAAAGGAGCAACACATGTTTCAAGGCGCAAATAAGGATAATCCTTCTAAAGTCAGCCACCCCTAATCCCAACATTTCATTTGCCTTTATAAACATCAATAAAATATGTACCTTGACATCATTAACAACATTAAACACACACTTGTCTGTCCTTTCACAACAGTTTAAACATGGTTTAAGAATAGCATTTGAATGGTGCATACATTAATAGTTTTCCATTAAGCTGCCTTTTCTGTGGCTGAAACCTTGCATTTTTTATGAGAAATGCAATGTCATTTATTCATGTATTTATGTATTACTCTGTTTCAGTTCCAAGGACAGAATATAATGTATTTTAAAATAGTGAGTATAGAGAATTCAGGTGAGAGTCTGGCCATAATCAATTTGACAATTATTAGATACATAATAATAATAAAATAATGTTTGGGATTTTTAAAGTTTTATGTTAGCTCCATTTGCCAGATCCTTAAAAATGGATGTAAGAGATGTTTGAATTAGGAGACAACATTTCCTGTCTCTCTCTTTCTGAATGCAAGTATTTTTGGGTTTCCTGTCTGTAAAGGTGGCCTTTCTAGAATATCAGACTATGCTTTTTAAGGGAATTCTCCAGTGTCTTTCAAGATTTGTTATTTTATTGCATAATGTTGAGCACGGATCTACAATAATGAATACATTTAGAAAGTACAGAAGCTGTAGAATATTGTTCCCTAGTAGTTTAAGAACTACTTTCCCATTAGGGAAAATAATCTAAGCAAGATTTTATGTATACACGTTAAAAACTGAATAGCTCAATCACCATCTTCACAGTTAAGTAAATTTCTCTATCTCAGGAGGGTTTCTAAGTTTGTTTCATGGTGAATCCAGTTTTAATATAAAAATATCTTAGACTGTTAGCAGGTTGTATAGTTCTCTACCTTTCTGGACACTTCATGTGGCTTTTTATTTTAATTTAGTGTGAATGACAGTATTGCCATCTATGCCCTTCTTATTTTTGGAAATGTTCTGTTCTGCAGTAGCTAATATGATGCGTACTGAAATTTAAGACTGCTCAATCTTCTAATGCAGAATAAAGACTATACTCTCCCTTCAAGAACCCTTGAAACTGGCAAGAGCTCTTGTATAAAGTACAGAAACTTGTGTAAATTCCAAAATTAAATGGTTTAATGGAAAAATGTAATATCCTTGTAGGAAATGTTGGCAGGAAATCAATTTAATTTCAGAAATAGAGATGATCAATATTGACTCTTGAGGAAAAAAAACATTCTGATAATTTTGTTTGCTTAACCTTTTTGAAGGTATATAAAATATTCACACAAGTCATATAAAAAATATATGGTCATATTTTTCCCTTTTGATGCTATAAATGTAATATGCATGAACTTCAATCCAATACATTCCACTGAACTACACGAAACCACATTTGCTATAATATTTGTTGTACAAACAATAAAAATGATTAATTGTTTCTGCACACATAAAGTCAGTTTTTAAATCCAAAACTTTTCATAACAACACATACATTGTTGTATTGCAATGAACAATATTAAAGATTACAATAGCTGTCATTAAAAACCTGGAAGGATCTGGTCATGCTTTCAAGACTAATCTACTTGCAATACATTACAGAATTTAATGGAAATATAATATAATATAGATGATGCACCATTTGATCATAAATTCATTAAATTTAAATGACCTCTTTCAGATAACAGAATCTAGTTATCATTGAGCATCTAGGCATGAACGGGATGTATTTTCTGACCCACAAATACAATTTAAATCCAATGTGTTTAAAGAAGAGCTAGCCATATTATGCCTGACCCAGAAAAACACAGTTTAGCATGTTGTATCTGCATGATTGAATATGTATTAAAAGAAAACAGGTGCAGTGCAAAATAATAATTGTACAGAAACTGCAAAACTATTTAGAGCAGGAGCCACAGTATACTGCAATTAAGACAAAATCTTTTTTTCCATTTATTATGATCTCTCAAAGTATGCATTTACATTGACTTTCATGGAATGTTATTCAATCAACTGCATTATAAGTGATTATACAATTTGCTATGATGAGGGGTCTATATGCCTTAGGAATATAACATTTTAAAGGATGCTGCACAAGTATTCTGTCTTTTGTATATATTTCTACACCTTTAGCCTCTCTAGAACACAACAGGAATTTTGAAAGTATCACAAATTCATAATATATACTAAATAAAATAACAGTGTGCCTGCAAGATTTGCAGTGATTACTTTTGTTATCTTGTGTGTTTTAAATAAAGTAACTGTTACTTGAAGTAGCAGAAATCTCATGTGTGGGTAACATATGAAAGAACCTGAATCTAATTTTTATAAGCATAGCTCATTTATAAACTTAGCAGCCCAATAGCACACCACTCTAAGTTAGGAAATTCCCCTTCCTGACACTGAGAACAATTTTTGTCAAGGTCATATATTATATTGTTAAAGATGCTTTTATCTCACCCTGTTAATATTAATGTAAATATGAGATCTGCAGGACACCGCTGAAGTCCTTGTGGTTGTTTATCAGATACTGAAAACGATTTAATTAAATGTTTCCTAAATGTTCAGCAGAATTTAGTGATTAACAGGACGTCCCTAAAATGAATAACCTTTAAAAAAGGTCCATTCCTATACCCATAGAAACTGAAAAGCTTTGCGGAATGGACAGCGTGTTATCCGCTACGGAGATACTTTAAATATACTATAAGGTGGTACAATAAATATAACCACACTGTGCATGTTTTTGAAGAGTGTGAGTAATAGTATTCTACTGCTTAAACCATTACCAACGAACACAAAACCGTACGACCAAGATTGAAAAAAAAAAGGTTTACCGTTTAACTGGTTGTAGACCACGTCCTCGAGGTGCTCAAGTCTCTGGAGTATGGACTGTCTGTCCACCAGATTAGAAACTTTGCCATTCCTGCTTCTGACTCTTTGATCAGAGCTTCTTCCGATCTGCACAATCTCTTCAGAGCGGCTCTGGATCCTGCAGTACACCGAAAACAAGATAATCCCCACGAAAACCAAAATGTTGACAGTCAGCAAAGTTTTGATTTTGCGTGCCACAGCCATGAAACCCGAAGAACCATTCAACCAGAAGGCATCAAGCCTGGACAACACGTGCACGCCTAACCATTCGGAACACGATGAAGTATATCGCTAATGCAAAGCAGAAGAAAAGTCTAACACAACCCCTTCCTAATGCACAGAAACACCGAGAGCTATCCGTTCAGCACCACCGCTTACAAGAAATAAGCGTTCAACGCATTAGCGGGGCTAAAGGTGAACAAAATGTTATCAGCGTGTCAGGTTTCAAGACGATAGGAAAACTGATTCTTGCTAAAAAAAAAAACAAGTTCAAGGTTGATGAGGTTGCTAGATGATTTCCTGATTTCTTTCAGATCCCGCTATGTCCCCACATGATAATTTGCATACAGCAAACCGTTCACGCTGTAGCGGACTGTAAAGATAGCTGAAGATCGCGGAGCAAGCGAAGCTCTGCTTTCTGTTGCAACGGGCTTCTGCAAATTAAAACGTGCATATATGTCAGGTTCTGTATATTCGAAAATACCATTAATATTTCAGTCCTTCAGTTTCCTCACTGAGGTATGGCAATCTTCTGATTTGCAAAAGGACTTCGGAAGCAGAGCATCAACATTCCCCCTTTTTCACAGGCGTCTTTAGTCACACAATCCTTTAGCGAACGCTTCAGATTTTTTTGTATGTGAATGGGTTTATTTCTCGCTGTTTCTTATCTCTTATAACCGAAGTCAATCGCGCAACGAGGAAAGACCGACGTGCCGGGATTGGGTGGGTGAAAGTTGAAAAGGTTCTGCTCTCTGATGCTGGGATACGGTGCTGATGCTTAACGCCTTCTGCATGGTGTACAAACCAACGCTTCTCTTCTGCAAGCGCTCTCTCTCGCTCGCTCCCTCCCTCTACCTCTCCCTCTCTCGCAGTCTCTGTGAGCGCCTAACGCAGACAGAGAGCTCTTCTGCGCAGTGACGTTCGGAGAAGCAGTTCATAAATATTCAAGAAGACCTTCTTTCCCCAATCCCATTTAGAGCTCCAGTAGTTATTTAATATAAAATGTGGAAGTCTAGGAACTAGGCATCTTGTCCGCCTTAGTACTTCGTAATTAAATCCAATCTAAAAGGTGCAGCGTTAATGTCAAAATGAATAAGAAAAAAGGAAAACAAATTAACAGACGATAGTGTATTTTCGTACCAGGGCACTGGCTGATATTGTTGCAGACTTGAAAATTGTGACAGTGCTTCGGTGCTGTGTTGTCTTTTTATGTTGCTTCTTTGACCTGGAAACAATTTACATCCTTAATCATCCCTCTCAGACAAGAAGAGCAGCTTCTACAGTGGATCAGGTGTTTATTATAGTGTATGTCCAAATTACATGATCAAAATGCATAACGCTTCCAATGGCTTCTAAACCATAACTCCCTGTCTGTGATCCTGTGCTATCAAACTATGTATCCAAACGTTTAACCGGGAACAAGGTCAGCGTACGAGCTGCAGTGGAAGAGGTTAATTCCACGCTTCAAATAAATAAGGAGAAAGAAGACAAAACACACCCTTTCGGAGGCGGAGCCTTCTTAACATTTGTTATGCTGTAAGTCAAGAATTAAAACAACAGCCCTCTAGTGCTAATTCCTAAGAAGACATCGTTTTAGAAACGGTCAGTGAAGTTTGCATAAGACTTTCTTTAAATGTTTGCCTATTTTATGAGTTTTTTAACCAAAAATGCATTTCTTATTAATATAAGATGAATTGTCACATAGAAAAGCACGTGAAATGAAAGAATTTTAATTTTGCTGGTTGCTTTTCACTGCATTTGTGCATGACAGGCGTCTGAGCTCCAGATATGCAAGCTGCCTTTATTTTCTTTGGATCCACAGTCAAAACCAGGGTGCCAACAGCTGATATTTGTTGGTTTTGAAACGGAAGAAAACTTCCAGGGTTTATCCCACCTTGTGCCCGGTGCTTCTTGACACATGCTCCGGGCCACTGTGGCGCTGAATTGCATAAGCAGTTATTGAAAGTGATGTGATATGACACACAAATTAATCTTCTAAGTGATTTCATAATTATGATGTTCCCTTTTATTGCAGGATAAATATTGCAACTGTAACCTACGGGGGCTCAGGCGGGCGCCCTTGCCGCATCTGGTCGAACCCGGGACTTCCGCGTCTCTCTGCAGCGACCTAGCCCCGTGAGCTAAAGAGAGATCTCTCCACAGCCCAGTAGCTGTGGTCCTGCTATCACAGGGAAGGGCGGTGACATCACCCGCTCTGGTACGCCGGCTCTTACAGTGCTTGTCGGCCGTAAGCGTTACACAACTTTGGAAAATTTACACAGTCCCCCTTTTTTTAGGAAAACATTGTCTAATGAAAGGAAGAGCCAATAAATGATATTTCATACTGTATGTACCATTTGAAGATATGAAGATATGCCGACAGTCGATATTGAATAAAAGCCTAGATTACATCATTGAATGAAAAGACAAAAACGTAATGTGTCAACAGAAAAAGAACAAATTCTAAAAAGTCTCTATCAAGTACATAAAGCAGGAGGCTTATAAATGACACATGTACAGGAGTATAAGAATATTGTTATTTGCCAAATAAATTTTAAATCTTTAATTTGAACACAGTAAGAACAGAAATGTCATCTGAGAAAACCGTAATAGCTAATTGAACTATTTACACTGATATTGATCGACTTAGTTATACTGTATGTATGCTTGGAAGTTACAAATAATTATTTTGTTTGTTATTGTGCATAGTTAAAATAATCTTATGGTGATTCATGGCATCAAATTTGTTTAGTATTTGTGGTGATTTCACATATATTTACCAGTTATTTTTCTTAAGCATTTTATGATACAGTACGTGCATCTTTGATAACCAGCACACATCACTGAATTTGAATAGATTCAAGCCTGCTTCTCTTGTTTTGTTGAAAAATACGTAGCATAAAACATGGCTGTGAGTAGAATTTTATTTACTTTGTTTGTTCATTTTTATTTGCTTTTTTATAGTTGCCCCACCATTTTGTCTCAAAGACCAGATGGATGCTTGTCCTTAGTTATTAGCCTGGATGTTTGGCATGTTGTTTTTTATGAACAAGCTGATCGCTGAAGTTATGATTTATGTCCTTTGAACACATTAAGTACAGCTGTACTTTAGATTTGTCCTCAGAAAATGCAGTGTACTTCTTAGTCTGATAGTAATCACATGGGCCACAAATGGCTGAGTCTTCTGTTGTAAAAATGCATAGTTGCTCACAATTTCAGCTAGGATGTGCAAATGAAACAGATGAAATCAGTGCATCAACCAGATTCTCTCACTGAAGTCAGCTGTTCCTGATCACGAAGGTCAAAATCTTTTAATTGAAATATTATTTTGGGTGGAACAATTGCTGTGTCTTTACCAAATAAATACCTTTTATTTTACTAGGAAAAATAGGAAGGGCATGTTAGTCCCTCAGCTAAAGCCAGAGATGACACTACTGAGAAACAATCTCATTCTTCCAAATCCCCCATAGACCTGCAGCCCCTGCAAAGTGACACATTGTGTTCATAAAAGGTGATATTTGGATTTGACCATTTTGGTTTTTTTTTCTTTTTCATCCAATTCAAAAGTTTCTTTTTAGTGCTTACCATGATAAATAAAATCTCTCATCGTATATATAAAAATCAAAGAAAAAATCGGGTCCTGCAGAATGTTGAGGGGGCAATGTTTTCTTATTTTTCATTGATTGCATCTTGTAACTAGCTGACCAAAGGTGCAATGTGGAATTCTGATGATTGCTATAACTTCTTTAGATGCAATGATTATTCCCTCATCCAAGCAAAGATCTGTCCAATTCAAATGCAGATGAAGCTGTCTGAATGTTTATAACTACAACTAGCTAGGTCAAATAACCTCTTATCATCTGTAAATGCTCTTGTGTTCTTACCAGTACAGCAACACAGATGCTTATAGAGACCTCCAACCTTAGAATTACACAGCATCAATTCTCAGACATTTGTCGTCAAGACATTTTTCAAAGACACCATAACTTGATGTGGGAGTATTCCACAGTATGTAGATCCCAAAGAGGGGACACAACCTTCTGTTACAGATTTGGGATGAAAAAGCCATTAAATACATTTTTGATCACATTGTTCTTAAATTATGTCTCATTATACTTTTGCTTTTAAAGCATGGGCAATATTATTAGATGTCTAGACATCATTTAGAGTTAGTGAGGTCCAAATGTTTTTTTAATGTTTTTAGTCAGTGAACCCACCCACCCAGAACACTCAGACTTAGTTTAAGAAAACTTTAAAAGCAATAAGTGCTTATTTGTCTAACACCATGTTGACTGCCTGCCAAGACGGCTGCCTGATCAGTGATTTTAAATAAATTACGATTCAAGTAAATTACAGCTGAACAGAGAGTTGCGTGTGTACTTTCATTTGATTAAAATAACCCAAAATGAGGTCATGAAAATCATTTTCATTCAACACTTTTCACAAAGAGGCAAGAGTGTTGGTTGATAAAGTCCAATTTAAACTCACAAAAAAATATTGGCCACTGTAAACGTTTTTCTAAAAGACGCCTAAATGACAGAGACTTTAATTAAAAGTTAGATGTACAGTAGGAGAATGGAATTCAGAGAAAATTGTTGAATATAAAAATCAGTGCTCTAATAGTACATTTGAGAGACTTATTTTTTGACAGTTTAGGAGATGTCTCAAATTTTTGAAAGGTAAAAAATCTTGGTGAACTGCACTATCTATGGAGACTTTACTGTCTGGTGATGTTCTGCCTAGGAACACATCCTTTCTGACCTTAGAAGCTCATCATTGTCCCACTTTACCACTGTTAAGAGCAGACAACCTACCCAAATGAGCACTGCTTCAGGCTAATCTTTAAGGTGAGGGAACCATTGGTTTTGATGTGCCTGGGTTACATTCTCTAAAATGTATTGGGATAAGAGAGGTTTCTGAATGGGCACACCTCACAATCTCCCTTAAACAGCAGTTTGTTCTTTAGAAAATAAATTAAGTCAACCACTTCCTTCCCCATTTATTTAAATATAAAAAAATAATATAGGTAACATGGACTCTTAAAGAACTTTGAGCGACAAACAATTGCAGTCCATTGAATTGAGTGGAATTGTCAATTTTTGAAATGGAAAGTCTGTGACAATGCTCTGAAAGCAGTAGTTCGTTCTAACCTTTAATGCCTGGAGACATAATGAGGGTGTTTCCTTACCAATTGTTATAGTACCCTGTGGGCTAGCCTTGGTGGAACTGACATATAGGACAAGATCAAATGACAAATGGATTTGCCACAGCTGCAATAAATTGATATGCACTTTTTTGGTCATTTGAAAGGTTTTATTTGAATAATCCACACCACCTGGAAAAGGTACATTTGCATAGCATGGTGGGAATATCCAGAATATTGTGAACACTAGCATTGAATTTAAATTAAAATATTTGAAATGGAGTGGCTTTAACTTCCTACCCCGTTTGATGTAAAAAGATTCTTTACACCGGAAAACCTTTATTGGCTTTTGTTTCCAGGAAACCCATGGCTTCATCCTGCTCTCATTTTGAAAATGAAAACTGATAGCCAATGAGTACCCAGTCATACCTAATGTCGCTCCTTCTGAAAAACAAAATGTAATTCTAAAGCTCTGTCATGATGCTCATACAATTCTGGATGATATTCATCGGTAAGTGCACTGAAAACATGATTTTGAAGTGTATATACTGTATTTAGTAAGCAGAATAGTACGAAAATGACCTACTGTATTTCTATAAAGATAGGTATATTGCATCGGTAACCTGAGATTAAAAAAGTTTAAAAAATGTTTGCAAACTGAGAATGAGCATTGATTTAAACCCAAGTGTATCTTTGCATCTTTTATCCTTTTGTTTATTTTCATTAGCACATTTGACACTTTACCAAATGTATTTTGCAACTGTGGTTCCTTTCATTTTAATATCAAGGAGATTTTAATATCTTTCTTTGTCTTAAATGTGTTAACTGAAAAAAAAATGTAAGAATAAATTGAATCTGAGATCCATAGACAGCAAGATCAATAACATCCATTCCCACTGGTTAAGTCTATAGACTTATAAATGTCATACACACTATAAATTAAAATTCATATGATAAAACTGATAATAAAGGTCATTTTATGTTACCTGAAACAAATGTAAGAGGAATATCCACTGTTCTTTTCAAGCTATGATAAATGATGCCAGGTTACTGGCAGTCAGAACTTTATAAATGCATTGGTTTTGTGTTCCAGGTTCATTTTTTAAACCAGAAAAGAGAAGAATAGAGGAGAATCACTGGGCTTGTCTGCAGAACTTTATTAGATTTTCCACTGAATATGAATTTCTTTTTTCCAGATGTTGATATGGTTTGTTAAGCACTGCAGTTGAGCAGCTGGTCTAAGAGAATGTACTGTACAGTATGTGCAGCAATGTC